GTTTGAAACTACCAGCTGCTCCACGGGAGAAAGATGTGGCTTTCTGCTCCCGTACAGATTTACAGCCTCGGAAACCCTGTACAGGGTCGCTATGGATCGGAACCGATATGACGGCACTTAACAACAACAATTAGGCCTATGAAACACTCCTGGTTAGATTTCTGGAGTTTTCAGGCCACTGTGTCTAAGCGTAGGCTCTCTCCCTGCACCTCCTGCACATGTAATTGTCTTGATTTTACTCACTGGGGTGGCCAGCCAAACCTCATACTCTAGAGTTCCTAGAACCATAATGTTTTGGATCCCAAGTTGTGCAACAGTTAAATTCTCAGCTGCTAATCAAAGAGTTGGTGCTTTGAACTCACCCACCCAGCAGCTCTACAGGAGAAAGACTGGTGGTCTGATTCTGTGAAGGTTACAGCTAGAATATTGTATGGGGTAGTAGCTCTACTCTGTCTCATGAGGTCTCTGTGAGTCAAAAATCTACTCAACAGCACCCAACAACACTGTCAACAGGAAATCTAGAGCTAATCTCTCTTGATAAGTTCATGTTGTTTAGTTAGGTATGAGAGTTGTAGCCAAGGGCCAGGCTTTTGTAGCCACAGAGACCCTTAGTCATTTAGAACTTGGATCCAGTAATTGTAGACTTTTAATGTAGCTGATATGAAGAAAAACGTGTCATCAAGATTGGAGGAAGACTCATTAACAACCTGCGCTATGCAGAGGATATAATCTTGCTTAATGAAAGTGAAGAGGACTTAAAACATTTACTGAAGAAGATCAAAGAGCACAGCCTTTGGTATGGATTACATCTCAATGTAAAGAAAACAAAATCCTCACCACTGGACCAATAAACAACATTCTTATCAATGGAGAAAGGGTTGAAATTGTCGAGGACTTCATTCTTCTTGGAACCACTATCAACACTCATGGAAGCAGCAGTCAAGAAATCAAAGGATGTATTGTATTAGGCAAATCTGCTGCACAAGACTTTTTGAAAGTGTTTAGAGCAAAGATGTCAGCTTGAGGATTAAGGTGTGCCTGACCCAAGCTATGGTATTTTCAATAACCTCGTATGCATGCAAAAGCTGGATAGTGAATAAGGAAGACCGTAGAAGAATTGATGCTTTGAGTTATGGTGTTGGAGGAGAATATTGAAAGTGCCACGGGCTGCCAAAAGAACCAATAGATTCATTTTGGAAGAAGTGCAATCAGAGTGCCCTTGGAGGCTAAGATGTCAGATTTGCTGCAAATTTTATTCCATGGTGATTGAAAATAATGTATTAATTATTATTGCTGATGATGAAGTATCAAACTTGGTCTCTCATACTTTGGACATATTGTCAGGAAGGACCAGTCACTGGAGAAGGATATCATGTTTGGTAAGGTGGAGGGTCAGATAACAAGAGGAAGACACCCAACAAGATGGATTGGCCAAGAGGTAATAGCATCGATGGACTCAAGCGTGGCAACAGTAGTGAGGTTGGCCCAGGACTGGGCAGTATTTCATTCTGCTGTGCATAAGGTTGCTATGAGTTAGTACCGACTTGATGGCACCTAACAAAAACAACAATGTAACTCTATGGAAATTTATATGGACATATGAAGAAATATACTAGATATGCATAATGTGAACTTTAAATTAATCTGGGAATACTGTTGCTCTTAATGACTTTTATGTAAAGAAGAGAGAAAACCCCATAACATCTTGTTTTGGCTTTATAAAAGTAACACTAATTATAGTACTTATGTGAATTTTTAAGGAACTCTGGTAGTGTAGCGGTTACAAGTCGGGCTGCTAATCATATGGTCAGCAGTTCAAAATTACCCATGGTTCCGTGGGAGAAAGATGAGGCTTTCTGCTCCTGTAAAGATTTACAGCCTCGGAAACCCTATACAGAATTGCTATGAGTCGGAACTGACTCAATGGCACACCACCACAACCACCACCACCATGTAAATATTTACCATTTTTTCCTAATGATCATGTAGTAAAATAATGATTAGTGCAATGAATAACTGTATCCGATTTATTGCAAATTTTATTCCATGGTGATTGAAAATAATGTATTAATTATTATTGCTGCTGCTGATGTATCAGGATGGACTGAATACAATTTTTAGAACCTAGAAGGAACATTGATTATATTTCAGAAAAGAAAGTTTAGACAAACTTTGGTAGCCAAAGTTAAATCCATTCTATTTTTAATAGTAGGACTTGATTGCAGTTAGAATAGAATAACACAAGGATACCAAAGCATGTTTAAGGGCAGAAGAGTGAACAGATTGCTCCAGTTATCAGCTCAAACAAAAGTTAATTAGTTTAAATTTATTATCATAATTAAAGAATTTCCAGGTACTAGAATGCAGAGTATTTTTGGCTCTAAAAACCATGATTTGGACCAAAGTACTCTGATGCAATTAAGTCAAACTTAGTCAATTATGGGCTTGGAAAACACTGCCAACTGTTATCGAGGCTATCTTGTTACACTCAGACAAGAGGTTGCATAAATATAATAATATGTTATAATAATCTTAAAAATATATTTATAAATATATACATATGTAAATAAATAATAATTTAAAAGAACATTTCATGCTTTGCTTTCTTCTTAGAGGGTCAGTTTCAAGGAGTATTTTATCAAAATGACCCTACTGATTGGCAGGAAGAATCTAGATAGTATTCCTTTCTTTTTGAAGAGGACAAAACAGGTCCCAGAAACTTGTTCTATTTGATTAAGGGTCTATTAGTAAAAGTAGAAGGCTAACAGTTGGAATGAAAACTTTATCTGTACATTTTCATTCTTACTGCCTCTGTGTATATTGTTTTAGTTTTCTTATGCCTTGGTCTCTGGTGGCACAGTGTGTTTAAATGTTGGGCCTCCAACTGAAAGGTGAGCAGTTTGAAACCACCAACTGCTCTGAGGGAGAAAGATGAGGCTGTCTCAGAAACTCTATGGAGCAATTTTGCTCTACCTCTAGAGAAATCTACGGTAGTGGGTTTTTATGCCTTAGTTAACCCATCTGTCATATGGGTAGAATTTTCCTGGTAGCCCTGGTCCTCCCAAAATTGTCATGAAGAGTAATAATTAAAATAATTGCTACTCTACAAAGTACAGGGCGTTCTTTAAATTACAAACAACAATGTTGTACATTAGTGTTAGTTCCACTAGACTTTGCTGTCTCTTACAAAGAAGGTAAACATTCATTTAGAATTACAAAGCTCAGCACATGCTCAGCAAATGGTAGGAGTGAAGGATGTATGTACATGGTACATACAGAATATTATCACTTAACAGTGAGGGCCAAAGTCTAGTTCTCCAGTATCCTGAAGTCAATGACAGAGGGTTCTCCAGTTGCCAGGTGTACACGTTCTTCATTCTTTGTGGCAATAAACAATTGCGGATGGGCAACCGATCTGAAGTAGTGCATACTTTTCTGGGTTTCCCATGAGAAGAGGAGGTTGGTCTCATCCGTGATGACTTTGGGTGTCTCAGGCATCTCCTATGAGAAGGAGAACAGAGTTCTATTAGAGAACAAGACCATGCCAGCAAAGGAACTGAAGCTCAATCCCTCGGCATTTGTTCATGAGAAACATAGTCCTCTAAGATTATGATTTTATAATATGATTAGGTCCTTCATTCATTTGTTCATTCAGTAAGCATTTATTACATGCCTATTAGATAGATATATGACCCAGTCGATTTATAATAGTTGATTTTCCTAGTTAACTGAAAAGAAATCCAATTAGTCTTTGGAATGTCAATGACACTAGTCTCTCAAATGACAGGTAGGGGTGAACCCTTGTTCTTGTCCTGCTTTCACCATAGGCATAGGGAATTGTGCAGCAAATCAGCCCAATGAAAAACATTTAAATATTGTGACCTCTACCTGCTGTGGCTTTGTAGGATAAGCACTGGACTGCTCACCTCAAGATCAGCGGTTCAAAGGCAACAGGTCCTCATAAACCCTATACAGGGCTGCTATGAGTTGGAACTGACTCAATGGCACTTAACAACAACAACAAAGCATATAAGTCTTACTTCTGGCAGACAATTTAGATTTTGAGGTCTTGATGCCATTTATCTCTGTATACAAGTCAACAACTGAAGATTTAGAAAAAAAACCAGCCCAAACTTCCAGGTATATCAATAGTTTAACCCTTTTTATATAATTTCTCGGCGACTGTGTTCTTTTAGATGGTCCTTTTCCTTTCAATATGAAAAGAATTTTATGGAAAAAAGGAATTTTAAATTACAACTTGAGAAAGTGGCATCACTAGGTAAGTGGTGCGGACCACACTGGGTGATACTTTTAGAGGTGACACCAAAAGAACTGTCTATAAAATGTTAATGCAGTGTTTCAGCAGTGATTTATTATTTTTATAAAAATGTCCCTGAAGTTAATTAAAAACAACAAAAACATTTTTTCATCAGCCCAGCTTATGTGTATTAATATACCTACAAGGCAAAAACTCAATGGAAATTTACTTGGAGGCAGGCCTCTTGTCCCCAGTGCCTTGTACCGTGTACATTAGATTGTTGTTGTTAGGTCTTCTAAAGTGTCCATGAGTCCTGGTGTGGCACTGTGGGCTACTAACTATAAGGTCGGAACCAAATTGACAGCACTTAGCAATAACGACAAAGTGGTCCAGTCAGAGCTGTCATTATTACGCAATGGTAATGATGTTTCAAATCATGTGATTTCATCTACACATAATGAAAACATACAATGTTGTTTTTGTTTCTGCCAGTGTTTTTAGTCACTTATTTTGTCAAAATTTCTGGAGTTATAGTTACAATATTGTGGTAAATACTATTTGGGACCCAATATCAAGAATTTACTTGAGGATGAAGTAGTAATTAAAAGAAGAGGAGAAAATATCAGGAAAACTTTCCACTCAGTTATTAATAACATTGTTGTTGTTTGTATGCCATCAAGTCAGTTCTGATTCACGGGGACACTATAGGGTTTTCGAGGAGCAGGTAGTGGGTTTGAATCGTTGACCTTGTGGTTAGCAGTCTAGTGCTTATCCTACAGTGGCATACCAGGACTCAATAATATTGTAATTCAATGTGGAAAGATTTTGAAAAACAGTTTTGTTATTAGAATTCACACAATCTAAGAAATGTTACAGTTATACAGCTTACAACTATGTTTATCACATACCATTCTGTCATTAAAATGGATAATAAACATTTCTAAGGAGTCCTGATTTGGTGCTGTGGGCTAATGTGTCAGACCACATAGTCATTTGAACTACAAAGTCAGTGGTTCAAACTCACCAGTTGCTCCTTGGAAACCCTATACTAGGTCGCTATGGGTCGGAATCGACTCAACGGCACTTCACAACAACAACAACAAGGATTCTGTACAGACTGGCAGTGGAAGAGATCCATGGGCTGGGGTCATGCTGACATTCTGAGTTACCAAACTGGGTGATATCAACTCTACAGATGCCGCAGACCAGAGATACTTCTTCCCTAATCGTTTAAATCGAAAGCATGTGAATATCCTTTTGAGGTTTTCTTGGAGTTTTCAATGATGACAAAGATTTTAAGTCCCTAAGATATTCCTCCCCTAGTTCTTACCATCTCACCAAACAGACCTTCCCTTTCTTACGTTGGTTGTTGTGATTAAGCGGTCGAGTCGATTCTGACCCATAGCGAGCCTATTTAGAGTTTCCAAGGGGCAGCTGGTGAGTTTGAACCACCAACCTTGCAGTCCTATCTCCAAAATATAGCCTAACTCTATCTACTTTTCCCCACTTTCTGCTTATGTTTCTAATTTCCTACAGGAGTCTCTGCTTTCTCTGTTTCCTTTTTTAGGTCTGGTCTCTATTTTAGATACTCTAAGAAGGTCAGGATATGGACCTGTGTGAAACCCTTTAATGTCTTTTCATTGCACCTCGGATGAAATCCAAATGCAAGGCCCTGCAAACCCTAGCTTCTGGCTTTCTTCCTCCTCACAGCATCCAGCGTCAAGAGTCTTCCTTCTCATCTGGCCTTTGAACTGCAGGGTCTCTTCGTGCTTCCTTGCCTGTGCGCTCCTTCTTATTAGCAGCTCTCTGGGAGCTTTACTCTTGCTACTCTTTTTTCTCTGTCTTAGCACTCAGTTCATTTTCTTGACAGCACTTTTTGTTAGTTTTCTATTGTCGGTCTCCCCCAGAAGAGTAAATTCTGTAACACTAGAGACTTTGACTTACTCTTATCTATGTAGCTATTAGCACTATGTCTGAAAAAATGGAAGGCTCTCAATAAATAATGCTTGTTGAATGAATTTATGACTGAAGGTACTACAATGCTCTGTAGATATTACTTTCATTTTCCTTGATCCAGGCAGAGAAACAAATGCACCCATGCAAATCCCCTTTGGCCAGTTAAGAGGAATGTTAGATGGAGAAGAAATCTAAGGCAGTAGTGAGTTTGTAGGTCTGTGTGTCTATATTTGAAGGGGAAGGAGGCTGGCAGTGGAGATACCGCTAGGATGAGAGATAGTCCTGGACCAAAACAGAAGAAGGGGCAGTAGCGTCAGAAGGTCACTTCTGAGTTTTTGTTTCTAACTCTTTGTTGTGCAGCCATTGACAGGTAATGTTATCTTCTTGGATCTCAGTTGACTTATTTGAGTTTCTTGGAGGCAGGCCTCTTTCCCCCAGTGCCTTGTACCATATTGGTTAGATTGTTATTGTTGTTAAGTGCCATTGAGTTGGCTCCAACTCATAGCAACCCTGAGTAGGGTTTCTGAGGAGCGGCTGGTGGGTTTGAACTGCTGACTTTGTGTTTAGCAGTCTGGTACTTAACCTACAGCACCACACTAGGATTCCAGGTTAGATAGTAGGTATCAATAGAGAGTGATTGAATATATAGATGCCTAGGGAGTCCTGGTGTGGTGCTGTGGATAATGTACTGGACCGAAAGGTCCGTTTAAACTGCAAGGTTGGTGGTTCAACTTTCCAGCCGCTCCTCGTAAACCCTATATTGGGTCACTATGGATGGTACTTAACAAAAACAACAACAAGGGATGGGAAGGGTCAGGTAGGGAAAGAACAAAGAAGGAAGAAGGTGATTTACTTTTTACTGACTCTTGTCACTTCCATTTTGTTGTTTCACAGATCCTGTGTAGGATTGCCTCTGGGGCCAGATGAGAAGCGGAGTGGAGGATGGACAGGTGGGGATTGTGAAAGGAAGGGAAGAAGACTATGCCATCCAGCTAGGGGTGACTATAAATCCCCTTTGGGGTGTCTACTTTTTGGGATATTTTCGCACTGTATATGATGTAAATGAGGGTAAGTTTGAGACAAAGTACTACTGACCTTCAGCAACACTGGTTCATCTTCATTTTGAGTACTCACAAACAGTCCAGTTTTTGAGGTTCTTAGAGTCACAATAATGCCTTTAGAATTAGCTGCTGTTTTATAAGCACCTATGTCAAATCTCTCTAGGAAAGAGAAGAACCAAAAAGAAAGTAAATCTATTGTTTTTGCATGAAGTGAAGTGTTTATGTAGATGCCGTGTGGTTGTGGTTAGGTGCCTAACTATGGTGTCAGCTTCTGGAGGTCACACATGGAATTTTACACATCTTTGTATCCTTCACAGTGTCTGCCACACCTATTAGACAGGTGAATGCTTGGTTGATGCATTTCTATGAACTCAAGAATTTCTATGTTGAATGAATGTTTGCAAGATGAATGAGTTTCTTCAACTTCTTATATCTGTATTAGTGGGATTGTTGTTGTTGTGCCATTGAGTTAGTTACAATTCATAGTGACTCCGTATAGGATTTCTGAGGAGTGGCTGGTGAATTTGGACCAGACTAGTGGGGTTGTTGTTAAGTGCTGTTGAGTCGGTTTTGGCTCATAGTAACCCTATGTAGGGTTTCCAAGGAGTAGCTGGGGAACTTGAACCTCAAACATTGAGGCTCAAACTGACTTTGCAGTCTAGTGCATTATCCTGTAACTCTACCCTGCAATTTGTTAGGTATTGAGTTCATCATAACCTAAAATGGAGAGGTTTTGGGAAGCTGATACACTCACATGTTGCTAATACTGATGAAAAAAAAAAATAGCTTAGTTTTCTTATAGGACAATATTTGTTAAGAACTGTCAAATTATTTATGTCTGTGAACCCAGAAATTATGCTTTGGAATATGCTCCAAAGAAATAACCCCAAAAGGAAGAAAGAAACCCCATAAATATATACAAAGATAATTACACTTAGAGCACTTAGACCCCATAAATATATACAAAGATAATTACACAGAACCACTTAGAGCAAATCCAAGGGGCCAGCATAGCAACCTAGTGGATACTTGTTTATGATTAAAAATGGTAAATGTGTATACTTTGTCATTATGTGGGAATCATTTGTGAAATAGTACTAAACAGGAAAATAGAACACAGAGTAATTTGTAAATGTCATAGAGTAAGAAGGTGATTAGTTAGAGAAATTAGAAAGCCCCACTTGTTTATTGCAAAGGTACCTCTTTGGGTCTCTGAAAGTAATTTTTATATATTAATGACATGTCCTGAAGCTAAAATATGTGTTCCATAATAATCTATATGAGAAAATATTTTAGATATTACATCTCATCCTTCAGACCATTCGAGGGCTTCAACAAGCTCATGGAAAAAATCATTATCTTTTAATCCCATTTTCTATGAACTTCTTGAAACCCCCTTAAGATTTGCAGCTTATTGATGATTTTTGCCTCACCGTAATGTTATCAAAGATAAAAATATTTTTCTAATTTGGTGCTATTTCAAGTTCGATCAGCAGACATTCCAGTTGAGAATGATTATTTCTCATTGGCTTCCGGGCAAATTTAAATCACGTAATATTTCTGAGACTCAGTTTCCTCATCTTTAAAATCAAGGGTAAGGGAAATCTAAATGAAACAGTATATCAGAAAACTTTGTACTCTATTTATTGCTGTTAAGTGCCTTCGAGTCGGTTCTGACTTACAGTGATCCTGTATGCGTTTTCAATGAGTGGAGGTGAGTTTGAACTGCTAGCCTTGAGGCTCAAGCCAAACTTGCAGTCCAGTGCTTTATGCTGCAGTGTCATACCAGTACTCCACTTGTTGTTGTTAGGTGTCATCGAGTCGGTACCAACCCATAGCAACCTTATGCACACTAGAACAAAACACAGCCCAATCCTGGGCCAACCTCACTACTGTTGCCACACTTGAGTCCATCGATGCTGCCACTTGTCCAATCCATCTCATTGGGAGTCTTCCTCTTTTTCTCT